ACCGTCTGAGGGCTGAGAACTCTGTTGTTGGAGCGACCCCGGACCGTGTTCAGTAAGTACGGTATGTTTACAGTGTTGCCAGGTGATCAAGCTGCCAGTTACGTGGAAAATGGGCTCTCGATGTTCAGGTGCGCCACGGAGTCATGGCATCTCCCGTGAGGACTCGTATGATGTTCCCGTTTTTAGTCGCTACAATTCCCAATTTTCTTCGTTGTCTTGAAGTGCTTAACACGCGCTTAGGTGGGGATCACTTGACCCCGCGAAGGGTTTCTCGGAATGCTTTCCAAAAGCGAGGCGTGGCCGCTCCAAATTTTGAACTGCTGTAGACAGCTGAATAGCGGATCGTTTGGTATGGTATTATAATTTAAGACGTACCTTGTAAGGTCGCTGACCTAGGGCAGGTCAAATTGGATTCAACGAAGTCAACATCTTGGAAATCGTTTAATCTGATGCAACAACAAAATTTTAGACAAAGCCATAAATCTTTGAAATTTTTCTTAGTCGAGCAAAAATTGAGCACACTGAGCGAATCAATCGACCTAGGGTCAGGTATGAAGTTCAAAACAAGGTCAAAACTAACCTGTTTTAGTACCATAGGGCTTTCTGTACGGAAGTTGTGTAGTTCCCAGTGCTCATTTTGAATCGATTGACAACAGAAACCGCATTGCAAATCTTCCATACACTTTTTAAAGGTCAGAGTAGGTCACTGCCCCAAAATATCCCAGGTCATCATTTTGTATGGAACATACTACGTTGCACAATCTTTGTCGTTTAATCAAATGCAAAAATAAAAACAGTCTTCCATGATTTTGGTCAGCATGATCTTAAAAATGTCAAACAAAGTCACGGACATTCAGTAGGCACGTGACCTTTCTTCTAGAATAGGTATTTAGGTTTCGAGGCGCTTGAGAAACCAACCTGGAGATTGACTTTGTTGAACCATATTTGCCATGAAGGTCACGACCCGAGAGCATCAAACATGAACATAAATGAGCTTACGTTCAGGCTAAGACGCTATTTCAAGTTGGTGTCTCTAGCTGTCTCGATTCCTGAGATCTCAGGGGGTTAAATTGAACCCCACCCAAGCGAAGGATATCCGAACGGCCATCCGGGCGCGTTTTAATGTAATTCATCGCGTGACATGGCGCCTGGACAGCCAGGGCTAATCTTGCCAAGTCATGTAGATCGCCAACACAGCCTTGTAGGTGAACTGGTATGTGGCGCACGAAGAAAAGTTTTCTGTCGATCTACAGCAAACAATGCGGTACAAGCCCATTTCCAAACCCATGCCTACCATGGACGCGTTGCAAACACAAGGAACAAAAAAAAAGAAGAAAAGAAGACGACCGTAAGTCCAAGTCATAGATTCATGACATAAAAGACATAAGGCATGACTCCAGTTCTTCCTTATTTTCAAGTCACCGGGATGGGAAAAGAAAAACCATTGTAATACTCAGATTTGCGGTAGTAAGATCTGTCTCTAGCGGCTACAGCCATCATCCCCTGCTCAACTGGCGCCGCTGCTGCAGATTGATTACGTACCGTTTTATTACGTCGCATTTGCATAAGCTTTGTTAACTACTGACTTTTATCATACCATCCACCCCAGCTGATACTTCGTGATGATGTTTATGGTCTTTCTCACCGGGAAAAAATGAAATTCTCAATGCATTGGAGAGCATGGTATTTGACTTCCCATGTACATGTTTTATAATGTGGTCTCATAGTTGATTTCGACACGAAGGGCTTAGTTTTGCTAGTAAGAGCAAACCACTTTAATGATAATACCATGGAGTGGGATAGGAACATATGCTGTTAGGGGACTATAAACTCTTTGTTGTAAAAATCACATGCAAAAAAAATCCACCTAAACAAGACAGTAGTAATAGCATTGTTCCTCGGAGACAAAAAACAACAGCAACAGTTGGGTTTATATTTTGGCAACATGCCTCTATCGAAACAATAGCAGAAGGTGACCATGATGTTTGCACGAAAGGTGGAATCGCGATGAGCACCATGGTTGGTCTGCGACTCGATGGTTCTTCATGTATTTCCACTTCCACTGTTAAGGAAGTGAAGGTTTGTGTCAATGAACTGGTGTTTCCGTCCACTGTCATACCTCAGGTGCGATGCTCATGCTTTTGCATGTTCTTCCTATCTTGCATCATCAGTTGTGGTTGACAGCTTGCCTTTTGCACTTAACGGACCGCCCGGACACTCAGTTTCGTTTCTCGCAGATATTACATGTGATGTATTACGCATCGCAGCCGATCTAGCGCCGTCATTATCTCCACGGTAAAGAACCGTTTCGGTCTTCAACATTCATTCTTAAACCTCAGGACGCAACATTCTATCTTGATGTCACGGATCTGGGGAGAGCGGCAAGTGCCCGAGGCTGCTGTCACTGAGAGGGGTCAGCGGCCGCAGGGTCGCCGCGTTAAGGGAGGGACGTGACCAACAGGGAGTGGCCGTGAGAGCCCAGCTGAAATCCGTTGTTTCCAGGCTATTAATCACATCCACGCCAACGTTTTCAGTCACGATAACCGACGCAAGGTACAGACTAGCAGCACTGAAGCCCTTCACAGACCAGCGCGGGCGACGCGAGGCCCACATCTGTCAGAAGCAAGCAGGCAGTGTTTGGTTTATTTGTCGCGTGAGACCGCCAGCTCAGCTCAGCTCGGCATCGAGATGGTCAGCCGGCGCACAAGGAGCCGCGGGGGCGATGGCAGTGACGCGTGCCGACAGACCTCCTCGACATCCACCGAACGTCCGAGGCGAGCTGGCGCCGGCGAGGCGCGCCAGAGGCCGCCGGCCCACCCGAGGCGGCTCGAGCGGCGGGGCCCGGACCGAGCCGTCGCGGCGCCGACGCAGCGCACCTCCTAAACAGTAGCACCAGCGAGTGGATTGAGCGCGAGTCGCCGACCACAACGGGGCAGTGGCTCTAAATGGACCGTAGCATGTTTTGATGCGACGCATCTAAATTGGCCTCACAAAATGTCTGCTGGTGATCTGGTAGGACTAACCTTGCAAAGCATGTCTAGCATAGTTGTCCAGCCGTCATGTCAGTGGATGAATTGTTTTAGAATACTTCAGTACAAGGGAGACAACCGCGATTGTTGCAAGTGGAGACGAAAATATCTACCGAACCTTTACGGTAGACGCCATGCCGTTGTCACCCGCGCTGACATCGAGAGCCACATAACCCCATGACCACATGACATCATGTGACATGACCATGACCACATGACCATGACCACATGACCATGACCACATGACCATGACCACATGACCATGACCACATGACCATGACCACATGACCATGACCACGTGACCATGACCACGTGACCATGACCACATGACCATGACCACGTGACCATGACCACGTGACCATGACCACATGACCATGACCACGTGACCATGACCATGACCACATGACATGACAACGTGATCCCCCGTGGCGCTTTAAACGTATTGCACATGCTTCCCACGGCTTGGGCGTAGTCCAACAAACAGGGAGGAGATCTGTTCAGCCCTTAGACGGTCCCAGGTCATAGGTGTGACCATGTGCTGATAACCACCTGCCAAGCAGTTTCCGCGTGATACTTTCATGGGTAACCACGTGTTTTAGTGTATAGATATTAAGGTCACCACATTGTGTGCAGACACCTTGTTTCCTGAAAAATGTTAAATTCAGTTACAATCATCCCAAAAAATTTAAAGAGTTTCGAAAGATGGAACGCTGTTCCAAGCACCACAAATCCATAACAGGACATAGCTTATCATTTTAATTCCTTTGTGGTATGAAGCTTCGGTTTATGCGCACGTCCTTTTTCACCGCCGGATGAGAGACATTTTGACGAAAATACTTAGGATTACCTCCGTCAAAACCTCATGGCTCAGGGCGAATCTTTGTATTTACGTATCGCAGGGGTCAAGAAAAGAAAATCATGATCACGAAGTTATCAACGTATTTTAATGAGTAACCGCTCTCATCCTGTGACTAGTACGCCGCAGGCTTGTGTGCCGGAGCAGAATGGCTGTAAGCAGGCTTGTGGACAGGCTTGTAGGCAGGGGCAGCAGCCTTATAGGCAAGGGCGGGGTGGAACTCGGGGTACTGGGCCTCTCCCTCGTAAGTGACCTCAGCGTTGTTGCCGCCGTAGTTGTCGGCGACGTACTTGACTTGTTGGACACGGCCGTCGGGCAGAGCCACCGAGTAATATCCCTGGGTGTTGTGACCATCGCTCTCCTCTTTCTTGGCGAAGTTGGTGCCAGTGTAGGGGTCGTTGACGGCGTAGTCGTAAACGAACGGCTTGGCCGCCTCCTTGTACTGGGCCTCCGAGTGGTAAGAGGCTGGCTTGTAGGAGGGGGCCGGGTGGTAGAGTGCCGAAGCGGGCTTGTAGCCCGGCGTCTCCGGCGCCGGGGCGGCGGCGGCGACAGCCAGCACGGCGGCAACGACGAGGATCTGCAATACCGTAGAGAATATGTGACGGATCAGGCAGTCATTTTAATGACGCAGTTTTGCTGCGATATATCTCGTAACCTCGCTATCCGTGCAACGCATGACACATCGCTAAGCCCACAGCGCACATGGCTTGAAGTAAACTCTAGTAACCAACAGGGCACCATACCGATGCCATTATTTCAGCACATACCTGCATGTTGTGTTCTGATTGCCGGGTGTGCAGTGCAAGTGGTGCCTGCTCCTTTGGTGCTTTCGCTTTTATAGGTCGGCCGCTAACCACTGATAGACGGTCACTGTCAGATTGCAGTGAACAGACGCCTCCAACGGTGTCACCGGCTCCGCTGACGAATTCGCACAGAATTCCTGGTACACGTCCATCTCCTTGAAGCCGATCATAATGTGACCCATGACGTTGTATATGGACAGGTCATCTAATCTTTACAGATGAGCTGGACGATAAATAGCAAAGAACATGCAGTTTATGACGCAGCAGGTTCGTGTCGATCTTTCTTGGCAATGCGCTGAACTCTGAGCAATCATGCCCGCAATTCGGAACGAGGCGTTGAAGCAATGTATGCTTTGCTGAGTCCCCAGCTGGCAGACGCTCTGGCCTCGAACGAGTCACGTTTTGACGCCATCATACGACATCAAATTCGCCTCATTTTTGGTCATTTGTCATCCCAAACTAATTGTAACGTGGGTTAATTCCGGCGAAAATGCAGAATTCTGGACTCTAGGAATGGTATGAACGTATGAGCAGGAATATTTCAAATAGGTTGTGTCATTAAGATGTTATCACAAAAAAAAAACATTCATCAGAAAGCACAGACAGGAGCGGAAACTGACCGTCCAAACGAAGGCATGTAAACGCTCTCTTTGTTTCTAAGTGTTTTGAAGGTAAATAAGCTCGCAATTGACTTTTAGAAATACGAATCTCGTCGTGCCCAAACATATGGGCACCACACATATCGACGGCATGCCTTGTTTATAAATGCGGATGATGTTGCCACACACATAATAAAGCTTTGAACGTCAATGTCCGGATGTGGAGTAGGCGAAATCTTGGTTCTTCCCAATAAATTTAGTTCAAAGCCTTCCACGCCCAAGCATTCCTTTGTGTCCAAGTTTTTGGCACGTGGGTAAGCCATGTTCCCAGTAATGAGGAAATCAAAATTACGTAGATTGTTATTGTGATGTCTTCGTCCAGCGGTTCAGCTCAGCTCGGTCACAGAGAGACGCATAGCGACGCGGCGATCTGCATTGGACCGAGTCTAGTGGCGTCCTGCCCCTGCTATCCCAGGCAGGCACTACATATCATTTAGTTCGGGTGAACTACCACTCATAAGTCAGCTTGATAAACGCACCTATCACGCATCCCGCACGGTCCGCCGCGGGATGGCGGTCAGCGCCCGCGGCGGTAGATCGCATTGCACCGAGCGGCCGAGGCCGCGCCGCGACCCGGCAGGGACGGCATGTCTGTTGGCGTGTCTATTGTCTGCTGCATTTAATTTTGTCTGTGCTAAATGCGCCATGTACATTTTCGACAAGGGAGGTACATAGTGGATTAGGTTGCGTATGGTTTTTGTATGCACAGGCTCATAACATTTTTTACGAGATATACGCCGTTCTGTGCGGGAGGCGTTTTGCCTCGCACTTAGATAAGGCAGATCATGTTTTGCATTGGAAGGTTACCTTCCTACCTACCTAGACCCATGGCGTTCATTAAGTGACAGGTGGTGATGCACCGTATGACTGGATCTGTCGTATCTAACGAACGTGTGACGTCATATGGTAATTGGTAAACAGCCAGATTGGACTGCCGATTGCCTGGCTCGATCACGAACTGTATTTTGTGATTAATTACACAGGCATTTACGTATTTTAAGATTATCATTCACTAATGCAAATGCAAGAACAACGCGAAAAAGGCTAATGCACGCACAACGTTCGCTTGCAACACAAATGCTTTGCTTAAATGAACGACGCCAACTTTACGGTGTGTCAAAGCAGACGGGTGAGTCACTCTCCACTTCAGCGGCAACTCTAAGATAACCTTTCTGGTGGAGACTCTGATATCTTAAAAACGGTCAATGACGCAATCAAACAGTGCCGTATAGAAGACCATCTTTACTAAGTAATGAAATTGCGCTATCAACAGTCTTTCGTCCTTCGCATCGCGTGGCAGGAGTGGAGTGTGCATTAAGGAATTGTTACGGATCCGTGCCGATCCACGTTGGCATCAGCCCAGCACATGACAACGCGCCGGGGGGCAGTCTGTTCAGTGACGTTATGACCGTGGCCTTCTATCGGTGGTTGGCGGCCGACCTATAAAAGCGAATGTACTGCAGAAGCAGCCCCTAGTTTCATTGCACACTCGGCCACCAAGACACAACATGCAGGTATGTGATTGAACTATATTGTTGATGTAGCAATTTGTCGGATGCTAGAGATTTTTCCGACAAATGCATCGTGGTCGAAAAAATAACAAAGCTGTTAGAATGAGCAAGCCATTCATATCTTCTATGGCATTGCTGGTCCTCGTCGTTGCCGCCGTGCTGGCTGTTGCAGCTGCCGCCCCAGCTCCAGATACACCAGTGTACAGGCCCGCCCCGGCCTACAAGCCGGCCTCTTACCATCCACAGCCCCAGTACAATGAGGAGGCCAAGCCTTTCGCTTACGACTACGCCGTCAACGACCGCTACTCCGGAGCCAACTTTGCCAAGAAGGAAGAGAGCGATGGCCACAACACCCAGGGATATTACTCGGTGGCTCTGCCCGACGGCCGTCTCCAGTACGTCAAGTACGTCGCCGACAGCTACGGCGGCTACAACGCTGAAGTCACCTACGAGGGAGAGGCCCAGTACCCCGAGTACCATCCGGCCCCTGCCTACAAAGCTGCCGCTCCGGGTTATAACCCTCTCCACAAGCCTACCTACAGCCATCCCGCCCCGGCATTCAAGCCTGTGACATACTAGTCACAGGGTGAGAACGGCTGCTTATGCCATCTTATTCGTGTTCGCGTTATGGTGCTTTTTTTCTTTTCCTGCGTTACTTCAATAAACAACATTCTATCGAGTCGTGCCGTTTTGACGGTGTAATTCTACGCCTTCCACCAGGAAATGTCTCTGATCTGATAGTGAGAAGCGACGTCCGCATAAACTGAAGACAACGACCGTATGCTGCTTTATAATGACCTTTAGCAACGACCTGTCATGGATTGCTGGTGCTTAGAGCGTATCATCTTTGCAAGCTTCCTTAAATTCTGGGTTGGATTGTAGAGGAATTCAAAACATTTCATTTTCGGGAAGCAAAGTGTCTGCTATTAATACAAGTGTCCTATGAAGGCATCACGCTGAAACATCCTGACAGGTGCCTATCAGTACATTGTCTTACCACACACCTCTGGCCCACGACCGTATGAGGGCTGAGAACATGCTGTATGTTGTTGTCGGAGCCACCCCCGGACCGTGCTAAGTAAGTACAGTATGTAGTGTCGCCAGGTGATCAAGCTGTCAGTTATGTGGAAAATGGGCTCTCGATGTCCAATTGGGCCACGGAGTCATGGCATCTGTCGTAAAGACCCGTAAGATGTTCTCGTCTCTAGTCGCTACAACTCCCAGTTTTCTTCGTTGTCTTGAAGTGTTTAACGCGCGCTCAGGTGGGGACCACCTTGACTCCCCGAAGGTTTTTCCGGAATGTTTTCGAAAGCGAGGCGCAGCCGCTCCAAATTTTGCATAGCTGTAGACAACTGAATAGCGGATCGTTTGGTATCATATCGTAACTTTAAATGTACCTTGTAAGGTCGCTGGCCTACAGCAGGTCAAATTACATTCAGCGAAGTCAGTTTTTAGGGAATCATTCGAACTGATGTGACAACAAAGTGTCGGACGAAGCCATACATCTCTGAAATTTTTCTTAGTCGACAAGAAACTTATATGGGCAAATTGAATCGACCTGGGGTCAGATATGATGGTCAGACCAAGGTCAAAGCCTGCCTGCTTTATTACCATAGACCTTGTTGCACGGGATTGTTTCCGGCGCTCATTCCGAATTGAATGATGACAGGAACTGCATTGCATGTCTTCAATACACTTCCTAAAGGTCAAAATAGGTCACTGACCTAAAATAACCCAAGTCAATATTTGTGTTATGAAACATACTGCATCGCATAATCTTTGCCGCTTAATCAAATTGCAATCAAAGCAGTCTTTCATGATTTTGGTCAGGATGACCTTCAAAATGTCAAACAAGGTCACTGACATTCAATGGTCATGCAACCTTTATTTAAGAATAGGTATTTATGTTCTGGGGCACTTTGGAAACCAACCTGGAGTTTGACTTTGTTCAGCCTTATTTGCCACGAAGGTCAAGACCCAGGAGCATCAAACATTGATATAAGTGAGCTCACGTTCAGGGTAACACACCATGTCAAGTTGATGGCACTAGCCCTCTCGGTTCCTGGGATCTCAGGGTCAACTGACCCCCACCCAAGCGAAGGGTATCTAAACGGCCATCCGGGCGCATGTTAAAGCAATTCATCCCCTGACATGGCGCCTGGACAGCCAGGGCTAATCTTGCCAAGTCGTGTAGATCGCCAACACAGCCTTGTAGGTGAACTGAGATGTGCCGCACGAAGAAAAGTTTGCTGTCTATCTACAGTAAACAATGCGATATAAGTTCATTTCCAAACCAATGTCTATCATAGACGCGTTGCGAACACAAGGAACATAAATGTAGACGGCCACCACGTCGAAGACACCGAGGTTTCAGGTGCACTATATTTGATGACCGCCCACCGCCAACACCGCGCATCAACCCCTCGTGGACGCTGACAGGGAAACAACGAAACCTCGGAAATGGACAGACTAGACCTAGAACTAAACAGAGCGGAAACAGACGGAACAGAGACTAAAATTAGCAATACAAAATGAATACGAAAATAGCATGGATTGACTAACACTAAATTAGACCAAGATAATAGCAAACTAAGTGGCTCAACAAACGAGAAGCGACCACTAAATCAAACTAAAAATGCAAACGGTACACCGACTACACCCGACCCTGTTAACAAAAGAGAAGGTATGACTGCAATCTTCCGTCGCAGCGCACGATCACAGAGCACGGCCGCAGAACACCGACGCATAGCTCGGCCGCAGAGCCCGGCCGCATACAACTCGGCCGAAGAGCTCCACTGCGGAGCACAGCCACGGAGCACGGCCACGGAGCACGGCCACGGAGCTTGGCCGCGGACAGCACAACCGCGGGCAGCACGGCCGCAGCGACGAGTCATCTGCGAACGCTAGGCAAAACACAGCACACGCGGTGTGCTGTGCAACTTTATGTGCAACTTTGCAAAACATGTCTAACTTAAACCCCACAAAATGACAACGTGATCTTCTCGTGGCACTGTAAACGTAGTGTACATGCTTGCCACGGTTTGAGGGTTGTCTAACAACCAGGGAGATCTGTTCAGCCCTTAGAAGGTCGCAGGTCATAGGTGTGTAATAAGATCATGTGCTGATAACCACCTGTCAGGCTTTTTCAGCGTAATACTTTCACAGGACAATTGTACTGATCACATCAATTTTGTTTTCTGAAAAAGGATGTTGAATTCTTTTGCAATCGTCCCGAAAATTTAAAGAGCTTCCAAAGATGCAACGCTGTAAGCACCAGCAGTCCATGATAGGACATAGCAAATCATTTAAAATATTATTGTGGTTTTAAGCTTCGGATTATGCCGACATCTTTTCTCACAGCCGGATCAGAAACATTTTGACAGAAAACGTAGGATTACCTTCGTCAAAACCGCACAACTCGTACGTATCTTTGTATTTACGAAACGCAGGTCAAGATACAAAAATCAATGTGACTAAACACGAATGGATTTAAAAGAGCAACCATTCTCACCCTTTGACTAGTATGTCACACGCTTGTATACCGGGGTGGGGTGGCTGTAAGCAGACTTGTGGATAGAGTTGTTGGCCGGAGCAGCAGCCTTATAGGCAGGGGCGGGGTGATACTCGGGGTACTGGGCCTCTCCCTCGTAGGTGACCTCAGCGTTGTAGCCGCCGTAATTGTCGGCGACGTACTTAACGTGCTGGACACGGCCGTCGGGCAGAGCCACCGAGTAATATCCCTGGGTGCTGTGGCCATCGCTCTCCTCCTTCTTGGCGAAGTTGGTGCCGGTGTAGTGATCGTTGACGGCGTAGTCGTAGGCGAACGGCTTGGCCTCCTCCTTGTACTGGGGCTCCGGATGGTAAGAGGCTGGCTTGTAGGAGGGGGCCGGGTGGTAGGGAGCCGGAGCGGGCTTGTAGCCCGGCGTCTCCGGTGCCGGGGCGGCGGCGGCGACAGCCAGCACGGCGGCAACGACGAGGAACTGCAATGCAGTAGAGAATATTTAACGGATCACGTGGTCATGTTAATGACGCAGTTTTGCTACGATGTATCTTATAACCTTGCTATCCATGCAATGCATGTCACATCGCTAACCCCGGAGTGTACTTGGCTTGAAATAAACTCTCTAGTAGCCAACAGGGCACCATATCAATGACATTATTCCAGTACATACCTGCATGGTGTGTTCTGATGGCTCGGTGTGCAGTGCAAGTGGTGCCTGCTCCCTTGGTGCTTTCGCTTTTATAGGTCGGCCGCTAACCACTGATAGACGGTCACGGTCAGGTTCCCAGTGAACGGACGCCTCTGACGGTGCCACCAGTTGCGAAAATGACTAATTCGCACGGAATTCCTGGTACACGTCCACCTCTCAGAAGTTGATTAAAATGTGACCCATGACGTTGTTTATGGGCAGGTCATTTAACTTTAACAAGTGAGTTGGAAGATTAGTGGCCAAAAACACATAGCTTATGACGCAGCAGTCTGCACCCATTTGGAACTACGCATTCGAAGAAGGTATACTTCCGTCCCGTCTCCCACTGACAGCTCGTGTCCTAGCCCCCATTGGCCCCATCATATCGCATCCAATAGGTACATTTTCGGTCGTTTTTCATTCGATACCAATGGCAATGTGGGTTAGATTCGAGGAGAAATCATGATTTGGGGACATGGGTGCGGTATGGAGGTATGGGGATGCATATGTTGAATTCGTCACGTCATTAAGCTGCCCCCCCCCCCGGACCATTCCCCAGAAAGGCCCAGGCGGAAGCAAAAACTAGTCGTGAAGGCAGATGCATTATTTGTATTCTTGGTTTCGAGGTGTTTCTAAGGCAAGCAAGCCACTACTCGATTTTTGCAGAGATGAATCGTGTTCTTCTCAAACGTATGAACGTCACGCACATCGCCATACGTCGTAATACCTGCGCATCATGTCGCCACATACCGAGACAGGCTTAAAATCACAATATCCGGATGTACCGTTAGAACAATGTTGGTTCTGCCCGACAATTAGAGCTCAAAGGCTTGTTAGCTTAGACATTCCATGGTGTTCACGTTTTTGGTATATAGGTAATCCATGTTTCTAATAAAGAGAGTGTCAAATTGAATGTGACTGAATTGTTTTAACGCCACAGACCTATTATGCAAACGTTGACAGTAATTCCGACCATTTCCTACATTAGTTAAGGCTACGATATGCTATGAAGTGTGGCACAATATAACCGATTCTTTACAATTGGTATCACAAACTGATGGTATGATCTCGTTTTAAAAGTCTGTGAAGTGGGTCACGAAGTTAGGCTAGCGAGCGCTTTACAATGGTGCTTATTGAAACGCCTGTGCTGGGGAAGTTTCCATCAAGATGGAAATACATGTTACCAGCTTATAACATACTTTTATGGGACATCTGGCAGTATCAGGCAGGTAAAACCGTCTGATGATTCTTTCTTCATCCTCGCTAGACGTTAACGTGATGTCACTGGTGCCAAAACTTAAATGCACGGGGAGGGGTAAGGGGGATCGCTAGACTTCGGACGTAATGCCGAGAGGCAAACGGCAACCAGAAACATTCGTGCAGATAGCGAATAAGTCCTTACATGCGATTGCATATGATCAGCGAGTCAGTAACGAAAAATTTTGTGGCGAACGTGATGATGGACTTTGGAAGCCCATACAGCAATCTATTAAAATGTAATGACATGAAAAGTGAAGGCTCAAACACAAAGTCTTAAAGTCTCAAGCACAGAGTCTTAAACACAAAGTCTTATAAGTCTTATACACAATTGGGCGGCAGGAAAATCGGGCTGTCTTCGTACCAATGACGAATAAACATAGCGACCGACGTATATGGCCAACGAGCTGATAGCGTAGAACTTAACAAGTGTGATGAAAAGCGCAACAACCTCATGCGACACCTCATTACAATGCACTTCGAACTCATACAGCCTCACGCTCGTGGACGTGACGCCGCCGGTGGTGCGAGGGAGTGGCGAGCGTGGCGAGTCTGTTGTCTGCTGCATGCATTATTTCTACGCTAAATGCACCAGATACATTGCTGGCAAGTGAGGTACATAGTGCACGAGGTTGTCTATGCGCTTTGCATGCGTAAACTCCTGGTATTTTTAGCACTTGACTACGAAAAGTGCTAGTCTGTGCGGGAAAGGTTTTGTCTCGCACATAAGGTGGATGTTTTTTTGTATTGGCAAAGTATCTTCCCTCCTACCTAGACCTATAAAGTTTAAAGTTCAGTAAGATATGGGTAGTGATGCACCATCTGGCTGAATGTGGCTTCTTGACGAACTAAGACGTCATAAGGCAATTGGCAAACAGCCAAACTGCGTTGCCGATTGCATGTATCGATCACTAGCCGTGTTTTGCGTTGAATTACAAAGGCAGTTAGGTGTCTTAAAACCATGGCCGACATGTGCCTGATATTAAAAAGGTCCGCCGTAACCGACAATTTAAATGTTGGCAGAATACATGAAATCGCATAAAAACATACAGTACACTTGTGATAAAGATTTGCTCGCATATACAAACGACGCCACCTTGACGCGTGTCGAAATAGATAAATGAGTCACGACTTTCGCTAAAGTCGCACCCCTGACACGAGAACACTGGTGGAGACTCTAGTGACGCAAAATCGGCGCATGACATAATCAAGTGATGACGTATGGGGGCGCATTTAATTAAGTGCTATTGACAGCAGATTTTTGCCTTTGAAAACATGATAATGCTTACAAATGAGCCTTTCCATCACGTCTGGTGCCAGCCTCAATATCTTCAGATGTGGACCAGTCCCTTTAATGGGCGCGAAAATTGCATGACATGAGTGAAGTGTGCATTACGGGGTGGCTACAAGCTCATATCAATCCATGTGACACCAGCCCAGCCGATAACAACGCGCTAGGGGCAGTCTCTTCAGTGAGGTAATGACCGTGGCCTTCTCTCACTGTTTGGCGGCCGGCCTATAAAAGCAAAAGTACTGTAAAAGCAGGTACTAGTTCCCCTGCATACCCTGCCACCAAAACACAGCATGCAGGTATGTGCTTGAAGTATCTTGTTGGTGCAGTAATTTGTCGGGTGTTAGAGACTTTTCAAGCCAATGCATCGTGTTCGCAAAAATAGGAACTATTCAAAGATGAATGACCATTGATAGCATATCTTCTATGGCATTGCAGGCTCTCGTCGTTGCCGCCGTGCTGGCTGTTGCAGCTGCCGCCCCAGCCCCGGATACACCGGTGTACAGGCCCGCCCCGGCCTACAAGCCGGCCTCTTACCATCCGGAGCCCCACTACAATGAGGAGGCCAAGCCGTTCGCTTACAACTACGCCGTCAATGACCACTACTCCGGAGCCAACTTCGCCAAGAAGGAGCAGAGCGATGGCCACAACACCCAGGGATATTACTCGGTGACTCTGCCCGACGGCCGTGTCCAGCACGTCAAGTACGTCGCCGACAACTACGGCGGCTACAACGCTGAGGTCACCTACGAGGGAGAGGCCCAGTACCCCGAGTACCACCCCGCTCCTGCCTACAAGGCTGCCGCTTCGGCTTACAAGCCTGCTGCTGCCCACGATTCTTCCCCCGTCTACAAGGCTGCCGCCGTGGCATACAAGCCAGCTTATAGCCCTCCAGTCCCGGTACACAAGCCTGCGGCGTACTAGGTATGAGGGACGCCCGTTAAATGTGCGCACGGAGGTGTTCTATTCATTGCAATGACCTGAACAACATTTATCAATAAAACTGCCGCTCAGTAATCTGTGTTGTTATTGTTGGTAAGCGGCTGATGCTATTAGGCTGTGTACATGCTGTTGATGGTGGCGTAAGCGTCGCACCATCCTCAGACTACCGCACTCATCCTACACTTTATTGGAGTAAGCGGTGGCTCCATGCTGAATCGAAACGAAACAGTTTAATTTCGTATGAAGAGCAAACCACTATAATAATAATACCATGCCATGAGATAGGAATACATGCCGTCATGAGACCATGACCATGTCGTAGACCATGTCGTAAATATCATAGGTAAAAACATACCCATAGATAAGACAGCAGTTATAGTCTTATTCCTGGGAGAAAAACCAGGAGAATGGAGATAGAGGTGGATTAATATTTCGGCAGCTCGCCTTTTTTAAAACAATAGCAGAAGATGACCAGGAGATTTACGTGGAAAGTGGAATCGTGATGAGCACCATGGCTGGGCTTCGAGTCGATGGTCCTTCATACACTTCCACACACACCGCATCCACAGGAAGTGAAGATTCTTGTCAATCACCTAACCTTTCCGCCCACTCTCATGCTCACGGTGCATTGCTCATGACTTAACAAGTTCCTCCACAGCCATCTGACACAGTCAGTGGTACTGGGAGCCTGCCTTTTACACATTACGGGGCACCAGAATATCCAGGTTCGTTTCTTGCGATATCAAAAAAAGATTACGTGGATTCGACTTCCGCTATTGTTTCGATAAAGGCCTATTGCCCGAAATATCAACCTATCTCTACCTCCATTCTCCTGGTTTTTTGCCGAGGAATAAGACCATTACTACTGTCTTATCTATGCGAATAATGTTCCTCGCAAATACACTGAACTTACCACAAAAAATCCTCACGAATCTGGTGAAAAGAATTTTTGTTGGAAACGACACGAATGGTGACTCGAGTACAATGTGGTGAATTCAATGAATCTATTAAGATGCATTTAAAAACAAGAAAAAAGTCAAGAACAGTATTGAGAGTAAGCTTTGAAGAGAAAATGAATGTGCCGAATTTCACCCGAGCGCTCCATTATATTTGACAGGGCCAAGAGCAAACTGCAGCTGATTATTCGGGAAATTTGACTTGCCCATTAACTGACATACAGATGGCGTGGCATGGTCGTGGCATGGCAGCATCTTGGAAGTTATACCAAAAGATTGAATATTTAACTGCCTGAATCTGTGCAAAGTTTGACGCGGTATGCAGGGGTAAGAAAAGTGTCTTTTCCCTCACCGACGAAATTTAGAACCGTCTAAATTTTCACCTGGAGCTGAATTTTCAGAAACAGATGTAATAAAACTATAAATGCAATCAACTACAAAACAAAGACAAATTTATTGCAATGCGGCATAACCATCAATGATCTTTGTTTCGGGAGTTCAATCATTTGCACTTCAGTACCACTTGCTGGCCATCAAGCGCTGAATGATGGTTGAGACTTGAATTCTGAAATTATCAGATAAAGGCATACGTGGCATGGCCAACCTGGAGGCGTGCAATTTTCTATTCAGGCAGCGAAAGGCGATTGTGGCTCCTAACCATGGATGTAGTTTCCCAATGTCATTTGCCTTTTTTAGTCATTACGTTTGATATTAATGATTATTAGGATTTAACCCGCAAACTAATTTCGAAAGACTACACTCCTCCTCCCAACTGTGAAGACAGTGTGTCAAATCTGTGCAGATAACAATTTCGAGTGCATTTTGGAGGCAGACTCAGTCATTTTTCCTTGTCCCCCCCCCCCCTCCACCTACATCGCTCAGCCCTACTTCTTTGTAAAACTGCATTCCTTTAGCCCTGTATTTACCGACAACATGGTTCTACAAGCACCTAACAACAATATCACCTTTGGTTTTGTGACGTCATTGTGCAATCAGCTGAGCGTGCGGGCGACCTACCTATCTTGGCATAATCATTATCGGCACAGAACTCGCATTTCCTAACATGGTACAAATTATTCAGAGCAAAACCCATGCCATATTGGTATCAGTAGACGCAAATGACATTTTGAACATCTGTGCTAACTGCATTCAGCTTTATATGCAATATACTAAAAATGAAAAGCGTTTTAACTCACGCCTGTCCACCAATCAGTGCGCTAAGCCGAATGTGCAACAGGCAGTGTGAGAGGCTTACAACAGTGATGCTCTGTCTCTTACCTCAAAGCCGCTGTTATTCTCGACAGCAATCCTGGATCAGCGTGGCTTCTTAACGCTATTACATTAAAAAGTTGACGATTAGCTATGTTCTTCTAACATGTCAGCTTCCCACGGTATGAACACAATTAACGGCCGCCAACAGCCTCGCACTGAACTCAGCGCATTACCGCGTGGTGAGCGTCCCAGCCCAACTGTGTCAAGTGGCACGACGCTTAAAACGCTGCGTAGCAAATTGATCACATTCGTCGCAAAATGCTACGACCAACCACGATCCTTACGACTGGTAACACGCCTAGTTATTTGGTACTGTATACTGCTGAGCATCTGAAGTGAATCTTGGCTAAAAAATCTGTGGAAAGCACTAATCTGAGCGGCATTGGAAAAGCACCGTGCCACTGTTGATCTGTGACGTCACCACTAGTATGGTATAGGTTGTAGTATATTTCTGGCACATGCCAGATTGAGGCTACTATGTTTGGAAGCATCGTATAACTCAATTTGCTCGTACAGCGAAACGCTAACATTTCGACATGTGTTCTACACATGATCACCCCGCAAGTGTCAACAAGAACAGATCAATACTAAGCTCTGAAATTCGCTTAGCTGGGTTAGTAAGTTGTGACATGGTCCGGTCTATCATTGTTGATTTGCGTTTCCGAAATTTTTCACCAATTGCTTCGCAAAAGCATGAGCTTTAATCACCAGTCATGCCCGGTGATTCGGAAGTTTTTTTCACCCCTCGCTGTATTTATCATCAGCATGATGGAATCTCCTAGATTTCAAGGGGCAGCAAAAAGCCATGTTTCCGTTTGGCAACTGGAAGGGGAGACCTAGCACCCTCCCCGCCAGTCTTTCGTCACTGGTAGCGCCGGTCGGGAGAGCCTATGTTATATTTATTACAATACCTTCATCTGGAATGAATGATCTACAGAACATTTTCAACGCCTAGCCAGGGAGTCAGGGAAAGGTCAGGACGAACTGGGTAGTCACAAACTGAAGCCGTGCCGATCTCTGCAGCCTTAGATCTTATGTGTTTGTTCTGTCATGTCTGGTTCATTGCCCTCACAGTCTTCAACCTCTAGTGGTTTTGACAGAGCAGTCATTAACACCTTTATCCTCCTGTTCTGAAAGGGCGAGGTCATTCGTGATGACAGGACCAAGAGAATGGCATGACATGACATGACATGACATGACATGACATGACATGACATTCGTGATGACAGGACCAAGAGAATGGCATGACATGACATGACATGACATGACATGACATGACATGACATGACACGACATGACATGGCATTCGTGATGACAGGACCAAGAGAATGGCATGACATGACATGACATGACATGACATGACATGACATGTATGATCGCGATAAGCATTATGGCTGGGCTGCGAGACAGTGGTTTTTGACGTACTTCCACATCCACAGCTAAGGAAGTAAAGATTTGTGTCAATCAGCTGGCTCGGCTTGGCGTCAGGTCGCGTCCTAGCCTGACGTCACGAGCCTGGGTAGAGCGGTGAGCGTCCGAGGCTGCTGCCGCTGGGATGGGTCAGCAGCCGCAGGGTCGCCGCGTGCGGGGAGGGGCGTGACCAACAGGGAGTGGCCGTGAGAGCCCAGCTGTTGGTCCATCGCTAAACGGTCGCATGCGGAGGGATCGGACCGTGACCTCAGGCCATCGGCGGCTTGGAGCTGGCGCTTAAAAGCGAAGGCTTTGTGGAGAAGGTATCAGTTTCACTGCAATCTCCGCTACCAAAGCGTGTAGCATGAAGGTGCGCACCAATCGCTCAACTAAAACTACGATATTGTTTGCTATGCCAGTCATCTCATCTGAAGTTGTGTCCATGCATACAAAATGAATGAGATGTCATATTCAGGCTATAAAACATGTTTACCGTAGCTATATAGTTACGAGAAATTTGTCGAAAGCACTTAGAGACGCGGTATCAGTTCCGACCAGAAACGCATTCCAGTGAGAATAATAGACTACATTTCTACCCTCAGGCCTTCGTCGTCGTCGCCGCCCTAGCCGCCTCCGTCGCCGCTGCCCCGGCTCCCGACACCCCGTCATACCACCCAGAGTACCAGTACAAGGAGGAGGCCAAGCCGTTCGCTTACGACTACGCCGTCAGCGACCACTATACCGGCACCAATTTTGTCAAGAAGGAGGAGAGCGATGGTCACAACACCCAGGGATATTACTCGGTGGCTCTGCCAGACGGCCGCATCCAGCACGTGAAGTACATCGCCGACAGCTACGGCGGCTACAACGCTGAGGTCACCTATGAGGGAGAGGCTCAGTACCCCGAGTACTACGCTGCTCCTGCCTACAAGACTGCTGCCAATGTCTACCAGCCCGCATACAAGACCGCTACCCTCGCCCATCAGCCAACCGTCACCACTGCCCACCAGCGCATTTCCCCGTCCTACAAGGCTACCACTCCAGCCTACAAGCGCATCTTTAAGCCTGCTGCCCCAACATACGGGACAGCTGTCCCTGCTTATCTAGCAACTGCACCTGCCTACCAGTCCACTGCCCAGGCCCATCAACCTGACTTCAAGCCTGCTGCCCCTGCGTACAATGGCC